GTCAATGGAAGATGACAGCATGGTTGTTGTTACATGCCACGGGTCAGTTCCAACCCATAGTGACCCTATATAGGGTTTCTGAAGAGTGGCTGGTGAATTTGAACCACTGACCTTGAGGTTCAAACTGACCTTATCAGAGCACAACAGGACAAAGAAATAGGTCTTACTACTCCACACTTTTTGTGTGTCTCTCTCCAACTACAGGACTCACCAGGCTGGACCACAAGTTCACATTACCTGCTTTCCTCTAGTATATAACAAGGTTCCTGCTAGGCTGCCTTCTCCTACAGCCATGACTGCTACTCTCACCGGGCTTCACGAACTCTTCCCTCCTTTTGGCATTCTCAGGCCCAGCCCCCCACCGTTGCTAGTTGCTGGTGTTTATTGAATGCTCACTATGTGCCAGAGACCATGCCAGGTGCCTAAGCATATGGTCTCATTTCGTCTTCACAACTTGAAACATTAGACGGCGTTAGTTCCATTTGGGGGCGGGGAGGCTCTGTAGGATAAGCACTGGATTGCTAACCATCAGGTCGGTGGTTCGAGCCCATCAGCTGCTCTGGGAGAAAGACGAGGTTTTCTGCTCCCCCAAAGATATACTGGGTCTTTGCAGGAGCAGAAAACCTTGGCAATCCTAAACAGGGTCGCTATGAGTGAGAACCTACTTGACAGTGCTTAACAATACCCACAGTCCTTTTGTAGACATGATACAAGTTTTGGGGGAGCATAAAGCCAAACATAACATGGGACGGAGCTGGGAGTTGGACTTCGGGGTGCTTGTCCTGGCATGTGAGCACTCCCCACTCTTCCTGTTCAATAGTTGGATCAACCAGATCCTCTCTCGAGTTCCACAAGGGGTGATGCCGAGTCAACACACCGGGCGACACCAACCCTAGTGATGCCATTGCTGCTGAAATCCTGCATAAACATCTCATAGACAGTCATTTAGGTGTTACACCTCTGAAAATGTCACCAGGTACGCTGCTCTCTACCACCCAGTGATGCCACTGGTTAGTGTTGAGATTCAAATGTACAAAACATCACTGTCAACAGTAAATCTATTCTGTCGGTAGAAGCTGTTGTTGTTGTTAGGTGCCCTCGAGTTCATTCAGACTCATAGTGACCCCAAGCACAATAGACTGAAACACTGTCCGGTCCTGCACCGGCCTCATCCTTGTGCTTGAGCCCAATGTTGGCTGCCACTGTGTCCATCCATCTTGTTAGGGGTCTTCCTCTTTTCTGCTGACCCTCCACTTTTCCAAGCATGGTGTCCTTCTCCAGGGACTGGTCCCTCCTGATAATATGTCCAAAGTATGAGAGACAAAGTCTAGCCTTCTGGCTACTAAGGAGAATTCTGGCTGTACTTCTTTCAACACAGATTGGTTTGTTCTTCTGGCAGTCCATGGCATTTTCAATATTCTTTGCAACACCAGAATTCAAGTGTGTCAATTCTGTTGAGGTCTTCTTTATTCATTGTCCAACTTTCACGTGCATATGAGGCAACTAAAAATAGCATGGCTTGGGTCAGGTGCATCTTAGTCCTCAAACTGACATCTTTGCTCTTCGATACTTTACAGAGGTTTTTTTTTGTAGCAGAATTGCCTAATGCAGTATGTCTTTTGATTTCTTGGCTGCTGCTTCCATGAGCATTGATTGTGGATCCAAGCAAACTGCAGTCCTTGACAACTTCAATCTTTTTAGCCTTTATCCTGATTTTATTTATTAGTCCAGTTGTGAGGACTTCACTTTCTTTACATTGAGGTGCAATTCATACTGACGGCTATAGTCTTTGATCTTCATCAGTAAGTACTTCAAGTCCTCTTCACTTTCAGCAAGCAAGGGTGTAGCATCTGCATATCGCAGGTTGTTACTGAGTCTTCTTCTAAAACTGATGCTACGTTCTTCTTCTTATAGTCCATCTTTTTCAGATTATTTGTTTAGCAAATAGATTGAATAAGTATGGACAAAGGATACAACTCGGATGCACACCTTTCCTGATTTACACCAGTATTCCCTTGTTCTGTTCAAACGACTGCTTCTTTGATCTATGTACAGGTTCTTGGTGACCACAGTCAAGTGTTCTGGAATACCTACCCATTCTTCACAATGTTATCCATAGTTTATTATCCACACCACACAGTCAAATTCCTTTGCATAGTCAATAAAGCACAAGTAATTATCTTTCTGGTATTCTCTGCTCTCAGCCAAAAGGCATCTGATGTCAGCAATGAAGTCACTCTTTCCGTGCCCTTTTCTGAATGGGGTTTGAATTTCTGTCAGCACCCTGAGGCTATACTGTTGCAATCATTTTTTAATTATCTTAATTATTAATTATCTTCAGCAAAATTTTACTTGCATGTGATATTAACGGTGCTTAATGATTCTTTATGATTCATGCATTTCATTGGGTCACCTTTCTTTGGAATGGGTACAATAGGGATTTCTTTCAATAGGTTGGACATATCAAGAAACTTCCAAGTTTCTTGACATACCAACAGTGAGCTTCTTCAGTGCTGCGTCAGTTTCTTGAAAACTCTCCATTTGTATTCCGTCAATTCTTGGAGCCTTAGTTTTGCCAATGCCGTCATTGCTGTAAGTAGAAAAGCCCCTTAAAGATGTTTATAACTATGGATTATATATTTAAGTGACAATCTCTCACAAGACACACCTTCTCTTCAGTTAATGAGGCCCGACAGTGGTGACTGAGCCCATTTTGGGAGACTAATGTGGAGATGGCTCATTGAACTCTACGGAAGAAGCACACATGTGGACACCTGGCAAGTCTCATTGAGGCCTGGGAGATGTCCACTCAGTTTCCTTTCATCAGTCTGACAGCTGAATCGCCGCAGTTTTGGTCTTTGCGCTTGGATCCACTCCCCCACGACCTCTTGGTGCACTACAAAATGACCCACCAAACCTTTCCCCAGCGCGGGCCTTCCGGGTGCGGGGCCCTTTAAGAAAGTCGAAGGGCATGCTGATTGGTGGAGGCTGAAATTCATTCTGAAGCCAGCCAATCCCGAGGCTTCAGGGGACAAGCTCCCATTGCCTCCCAGAAGTAGGAGACTGAGTTCGGTTGTGTCGCCGTGTCCCACCGCCCCCGCGTGCAGTGAGTGGGCGCCCGCGGGCAGGGCGGGCGGGCAGAGCGGGACGCGGGGACTGTGCTCGGAGCGCCCCCCATCCCAAAGCTGATCGGAGTTGCCAACCTCTTTCCCACCGAGCCAGCTTGTCTCGTGGCTATGACCTCTGCTTGGGCTTCCTAACCGCCTTGGGAAACCCGGGGTTTTACCTACAGACGTCAGCAAGCCACTGCAGGGAACCTCCAGGGTCCGTGGGCTCAGAGAGCGAGGGTGGAGTTAACAAGGGAAAACCGACTGAAGCTGTGCGCTCCGGGCTGGGTGTGCAGGGGAACTGGCCTGGTTTGCGTAAGACACACAGACTTAGTGAAAATGAATGTGGCTATGTCACCCATAAACAAGGTAGTTAATTCCACGCTTGATTAGGGAAAATGAGCAGCGGTCTGGATGACACAGGCCATGAAATGATCCATTGGGTTTCTTTGTTGTTGTTAAGTACCGTGGAGTAGGTTCCGACTCATAGTGGCCCTGCACAGGGTGTCCGAAGCTGTAATGACCCTGCACAGGGTTTCCGAGGCTGTAAATCTTTACGGGAACAGAATGCCTCATCTTTCTCCCATGAAACAGCTCGCAGTTTCTAACTGCTGACCTAGAGGTTGGCAGCCCAACTCGTAGCCACTATGCTACCAGAGCTCCTTTGGTGTTGTTAGGTGTCATCGAGTCGGTACCAACCCATAGCGATCTTATGCACAGCAGAACGAAACACTGCCGGATCCTGGGCCAGCCTCACTATTGTTGTCACACTTGAGTCCATCGATGCTGTCACTTGGCCAATCCATCTCGTTGGGGGTCTTCCTAGGCTTCTTTGTTGTTGTTGTTAAGTGCTGTCGAGTCAGTTCTGACCCATAGCGACCCTGTATAGCGTTTCCAAGGAGACGCTGGTGAGCCTGAACCGCCAACCTTGCAGTTCAAACGGCTTTGCAGTCTGGCGCATTAACCCACAGCGCCACACCAGGACTCCTCATTATTATTATTAGATGGTATGAAAATTGTTTCCCTTTTTGAGGATTTCAGCAGTAGCTGGAAGAGAACAAAGGTCAAGTGGAAGGAAGGCAACAGAGGACTATCAGGGGTGCAGGCAGGAGGTGAGACACCTAGAACTTCCTTCCATGCCTCCATGCAAGGAACACGGAGGAATCTGGTCTCCCTATACCCAGGGCAGCTTCAAAGCACAGACCCTGCATCCAACTGCATAGAAGGCAAGAGGATGGAGGGTACCACTCTGTCCCCCATGCAAAATAATAATAATAATAATAATAATAATAATAATAATAAGTATTAGTTCTTCAAGACTTCTAGTGGGATCAAGAAACATGGAACTCTCTGCTTTGAAAGCAGAGAAGGATTTTGAAAGTCATCTTGTTCAAGCAGCTTGTCTTAGATGAATAAATGACGTCCTGGCTAGAAAAGTTTGTCCAAGGCCAGACTGCTAGTTAGCAGCAGCTACTAAACCCATGAGTTCCGAGATCAGAACTTCTTGCTTTTCATACTTTGTCTAAAGTTCATAGTAACTGACGACAGACCATATGGGGATCCTGGGAGGTGTGTTGTTGTTGTTGTTGTTAGGTGCTGTTGAGTCGGTTCCAATCCATAGTGACCCGACTGTGTACAACAGAAGGAAACATCACCTGGTCCTATGCCATCCTCACAATTGCTGCTACGCTTGAGCCCAATGCTACTGCCACTGTGCCAATCCACCTTTCCCACTGACCTTCCATTTTATCAAGTGTGATGTCCTTCTCCAGAGACTGGTCCCTCCTGATAGTATGTGCAAAACATGAGAGACAAAGTCTGGCTATCCTGGGCTTCTAAGGAACATTCTGGTTGTTATTCTAAGTCTCCTTGTTTTTCACATTTTAGGTCAAGATGGGATTTATACTCTCAAAGTCTATGAACGAAAGCATGAAAAATCAGCAGGAATTCATGCTTATGAACGCCCGACTTCAGGTACATTTGCCAATAATTCTATTTTGTTGGTGACAGAACCAAATACGCTTTTAATTAGTAGTAAGTGAACCTTGAAATTAAATCGTCTGGTTAATTAAAGTTGATAAGAATGCCTCAAATAAGGAAGGTTTCTTTGTTAAATAAGGAAGGCGGAGATTCACATGGCCGCCTCAGTGCTTCTCTCAGAGCACCGGTGTCCACTGCTTTCTTTGTGTACTTTCTTCCTAAGAGTGGTGGTTGCATCATGGAGGGCTGTCCTCAGTAAGCTGAAGCTCACTCAGGCCAAACAAGTACTTTCTGAAAGGGCCACTAGATGGAACACCTGAAAAAATTTTCCATCGTCTCTATGGCCTGAAATGGATTTTGCTGCGGGCAGACATCTCAGAACTAGTGCAGGATTGGTCCCAGAACACCGCCATAAGGTGACTATCTCAGTACAGAAAGTCATGGAATTTTTGGTTTCCCAGTGCAGATAAAAGTCATATTGACACTCTTCTGTAACCTACAAGGTACAATACAGTATCATGATGAAAAAGGCTGAAATCTTGTGTCAGTGCCCAATATGGAGCTCAGAGACACGAAGTGAGAGCATGCTGCTGGAAAAACAATGCCAATAGACTTGCTGGGTTGCACACACTCTCAGTTTGTCAAAAACTCAGTGTCTGTGAGCGCAGTGAAATACAATAAACCGAGGCGTGGCTGCATTGAAAGGTAGGGTCAGAACTGAAATTGTGGAACAGGCAGAATGAGGGAAGAAGAAAGGGTTTCTTGGGTCTAAGCTGCGCTGCAGTGCTATGCAACCAAGCACTTAGGGCCTTGTGAGGATGAGTCGGTGAGCAAGCAAATGCCGCTTCACTTTTTAGTGTGCGCAGCCAACAAACGAAAGCGTGGCACCAGACACACATGACAACTTCTCTTCAACCTGTTTGTCCTATTGTGAGAGTTTGGTGTTATGGTAATGAGATATACGAGGAGGTTTTGAAAATTCCTGGAAAAATGCCATTGTCTTTTCATTTCACTTTTCCACAAACTTTTTAAAGCCCTCTTGTATTTATAAACCAAAAGATATAGGCATTTAATAGGTCAATAATAATGTGCTCCATGCTGATTGGGATTCAGAAAGGAATAAGGTGAGAACTCTGCATTCAAGGAACATCTTGTCTGAATTAGTGGGGAGGGGGCAAGGTATGCTCCAGGTAGCAGATGGACCGTGTGTTGTGTGTGTGCATGTGGCAGGCAGAACACTGCCCCCTAAAGATGTTGACAAGGTGGTGCAGTAATTAAATACACAACTCCCAGCTGAAAGGTTGACAGTTAGAACCCTGGAGCGACTCTGCAGTAGATGTCCTGGTGGTCTGCCCCTGTAAAGACTGCCCCCCAAGGATCCCTGTGGGGCAGCTCTCCTCTGTCACGTGGGGTTCCTAAGAGTACGCATTGACTGGGCGGCACTCAACAGCAAGAACAAAGAAGTGTCCACTCTAATCCTCAGAAAGGCAGCCTTGGGGGCAGCAGAGGCAAAGCGCTAAGCTGCTAACCAAAAGCTGCTAACCAAGGAAGGAAGTCGTGAGCATCTGCTTCTGTGAAGATGTCCCACATATGAGAATTTAGCACACCGTTCCTCCATGTCAGCTACTCAGTAGAATCAGTAATGCCAACAGTTTCACTAGGATTGCTAGTCATTCATTCATTCGTCAGATGTTTCTGGAGACACTGCTTTGTGTCAGATATTAATTTAGATGTGGAAATAGAACCATAAACACAACTGGCAAAGGAAGTCCCTCCCTCCCTCCCTGATGTAACTCACTGATGATGTAGCTCACTGATGTAACTCACTTATTCGCGGTGGAGAAATGGGGGGAGACCCAAGGTGGTGGAGGGATGGCATTTCTAATAGGGAAGTCAGAGAAGGCCTCTGTGAAGTTGGCATTCTAGCAGAAGTCCTTCTCCAGAGACTGATCCCTCCTGACAATATGTCTGAAGTATGAGAGATGGAGTCTGGCCATCCTGGCCTCCAAGGAGCACTCTGGCTACACTTCATCCATCACAGATTGGTTTGTTTTTCTGGCAGCCCATGGTACTTTTAATAAATTCTCCACCAACACCATGCATCAGTTGTAGCTTGGGCTAGGTGCATCTTAGTCCTCAAAGTGACATCATTGCTTTTTGACTTTTTAAAGAGGTCTTTTCCATAAATGTGCCCAACTGGAAGGAAATGAGAAAGCAAGCTTTGTGGCTAGTTGAAGAGTGTTGGTGCATAGATGAGGAGGTGGGAGACAGTGCTAGACAGAGGGACAATGCAGAGGCGGGTGTGACCAGAGCTCAGAAAGAGTCCGGGGGAGTGAAGTGAGGTCAGGTCAGAGGCCCCCCCAGGCCTCGTACCCACAGAAGTGGTTTTGAAATGTATTCTGGAGTGACAGGAAGCTGTTAGGAACTTTGAGCAGAAGAGTGACTAACCTGAATATTTTTACAACATAAAATACTGTGTTTTCAATAAATGCTTTTCAAATACCTAAGAACATAAACAGCAAATAGTTATGTGAGAATACTTTGAAATCGTATGCCCTAATTGTGTCAAATACCTGGTCGTGCGAAGCGGGACCTGAGCCCAGGAAGCCACTGCAGTGTTGCTGAAATCGAGTCCTCGGAGTAAGTCTTGCAGTAGCGAGGACTCCAGGATTGGCAGGGCCGGAGGAGGTGAAGTGTGGGTGGAGGATGATCAGGAGGGGGCTGTCCGAGAGACTAAGGAGCCCTATGGATTTTCTGGTTCCCAAAGCTGTGTTGGTGGTGGGCCTGCAAGAAAGAAATAACCTGGGACTTATAGCTCAAAGCCTGCGGGCGTCGATGCCAGGCTGAGGGCAGACGCCTCATGTCCCTCGCTGAGACTTGTGACTCACTCTGTGACGGTCCACTCTGGCCTCCCTGGACTCCAGTCAATCTTGGGCAAGGGGGGTGGGGGTGAGGATGGATTCTAAGGCCTCCGTATCCCACTCCTCACTCCTGCCAAGCAGAGGGTTCAGTTCTTTCTTTCTGTTTACATTGCCCTCTGCCTTCCTGTGTCCAGCACTTAGCATTCAGTTTTATAATTCTTTGTCTGCCCACCCACTAACCTGTGGGTGGTTAACTTATAGCCCCAGTGCCTAGCACACCATTGCTGTTAAGTGCCGTTAAGTTGGTTCTAACACGTGGCGACCCTGTATGGGGTTTCCAAGGAGCAGCTGGTGGATTTGAACCACCAACCTTGTAATTAACACTCCAGTGCTTATCCAGCAACACCGCACCAGGCTCGCTTACTGCTTTTGGGATGGATGGACAGTTTTGTTTTTTTTTTTTTCATCTTTCTTTGTCTAGTGCGGAATTTTGGCTCGTGTGTGAACTTTGTGTAGCTACAAAGGAGAGACAGAGTCTGGAGAATTGGGGCCTGGAGAATGATAAATTAGATATGATGTTGTTAAATGCCCTCAAGTTGGTTCCGACTCATAGTGGCCCTGTATAGGGTTTCCGAGGAGCTGGTGGGTTTGAATTGCCAACCTTGTGGTTCGTGGTCCAGTGCTGATCCCACAGCGCCACACCAGGAGTGCAGGTTAGGGATGGATGGGAACTAGTGAGAGATTAAAGGTTTTTAGTCAACTTCTCCAGACCTCACCGTCTGCCCTGTCCTTGCCAACACTCACTAAGTAGGTCAGCAGACATTAGTGTCCTTCGAGTAAGAAAAGAGAAGACCTGCCCTGAAGACATATCACAGGAGGAAGGGAGGTTTATTCATTCATCAGATATTGAAGTCTGTGCGTCAGTTGCTCTTTTAGAGGTTGGAGACACAGTAAGAACAAAACAGACAAAATCCTTACCTTTATAGAACGTATGTTGTCATTGGCGAAGACAGGCAACAAACAAAAATAATAAGTAAAGTAAGTGCAGTGGAGAAAAATATGGAACGAGAAGGTGACGCAGACTGCTGGGGCTTAAGGCAGTCCAGTGAGGTAGGAGTGCCTGTCAAGGCAGGGCAGGAGGTGGGATGGATGGATGCATGTGTGGGGCCTGGATGGTAGCGGAGTCTGACCACCCTCCAGCCTCGGCCCCTGGCTGTGACGGTGGCTGCTACAGAGTGTATCACCAGCAATATTTACTGAGCTCTTTTCTTAAGCACTTTCTGTGTCGGCACTCAGTAAGCCCCCTGGTTGCTCCTTGTAGGTAGACGGTTTTTAAACAGGTGAGGGAACAGTCTTAGTGGTATAAACTGACTTGTCCAGTTAGTAAGAGAGCTCAGATTCAGATCTCAGACTTTCCAAAGCTTTTAGTAATTTGTGTATTACAGTGTGTTTGAAGATAGTGATTTGGATTTTGGCTCTGCTGACCGACTATGAAGTATTTGGGTGGGGGGGTCTCATTTGGGGAAGTATTTGGGTGAGAGTCTCATTTTGGGAGTACAAAATGAAGGTCAATGGAAGTGTGGAAAGGAAGCTAATTATTAGAATATCAGGATCTGAGCCTAGGGCACTTCTCAAAGGGATCATGGGAGCGAGATAATTTTTAAATAGAGCTGCAAGTTAATCCTTTTGTGGGCATTTTTAAGAAGAAGGTGGTTGTTTTCCTGTGAGGGATGTATTTTCTAGAGGCAGGCTGTCATATATATTTTTTTTTTCTTAAATGTTTTATTGTGAATTATGTGATAGTTTACATGGGAGAACATTAGTTTTACATTCATTCTATCGTATATCGTCTCATTGCCATGGTTACAATCCCCTCCATGCAAGCCTTCCCCATACTCCCCAGGTCTTCAGCACACAGCCGCTCTCCCTCTCTGGATCTAAAGTCTCCAGCTGCTCCATCGCTCCACGTCATCACAGGCTGTCATATTTTGAATTTTCATTTTTCCACTTGATCCGGTATTCTATAAACTACTACTACTACTAATACCTATCTGATAGGTTGTTTAGAGGAGTAAATTAATCTATCTAACATGCTAGACCTCTGGTAGCGTAGTGGTTACGAATCGGGCTGCG